ACGAGGTCTAGTGAAACACAAAGTGCAGATCGACACGAAGTACGGACCCTTTCGTGCTAGATATAAAACTGTTTACGTCTCACAAGTTTTAGAAATATATGTAAAACATACTCTATAACTTGAATTGGTAATTGGATTATTCAAAACTGAAACGATATTACAAAGGTATCCATAACGATGTCGTCCGTTTCTGATAAAATGCTAATTCATATACAATCACGAATATCCTTGTGTTAAATCTAATGACTCACACAAGAGCTGAAATTGTATCCTCAAAATTTTAAGTCATTTCTAAATAAATACACGACACAATGAATACGGTACACGCAAGATCTTGCATTCATTTTTTAATGAAGAACTGCTACTATTTCCGAAATAATAAGTTATACTCCATTATACAGACAATGCACGGACAACAATTGGCAAAAAAACTTGTGCTGATAAAGACTGTAGTTACATTGCATGGCCTCAGGCATGTGAAAGTAAGACAAGAAATACCCCGATATACTGACAAAAATAATGTACATAGCTTCAGGCAAGCTCTGATATGACAAAAATACATGGCAACAAATATCTTCTAGTATGACAAGAGATGATAAAACATAGATGACAATTTACACAGGCTTGAGGCAAGTTGACAAGAGATACCCCGATTTACTGACAATACATACACAATAATGTATATAGGAATGAATCAGGCATGTTCTAAAACGACAAACATATGCCAATATACTGACATAGGCAACATACATACATCTTCTAATATGACATGAGATGATGAAACATAGATGACAATTTACACAGGCTTCAGGCAAGTTCTAGTATGACAAGATATACCCCGATATACTGACAATACATTGACGATAATGTACCTGTACATTAGGCCTCAGGCATGTTGCAGTATGACAACACACAACCCGTTATACTGACAATACATTGACGATAATGTACCTGTACATTAGGCCACATGCATGTTGCAGTATGGCAACACACAACCCGTTATACTGACAATACATTGACGATAATGTACCTGTACATTAGGCCACGGCATGTTGCAGTATAACAACACACAACCCGTTATACTGACAATACATTGACGATACACTGATACATATTATTTTGATACATTTATTACGTTTATAGACAAAGAAGTTAACCTCATTCACTCAGCTTGGGAAAGAAAGCCACATTGCTTTGTGACGTTCATATCAACCTTGTGCCATCTTTAATATTAACCTCAAACACTGCGCGCTGGAAAAGAAAACCACAATGCATTAGTGACAGCCATATCAATCCTCTATCGCCTTCAATATCAATTTTCAAGGCAATTTCTGCTGTGATTTGCACAAACACCTGCCTCCGCGCGACATTGCTTTGATGGAGAAACTGCTTGTGAATTGCCGATCAATTAACTAACCAATCTCGGGATATGATTGGAGTAGATAATTTCCGGCAATTTCCGGCTATACCCGGCTATATCCGGCATGAGGATATGACACGAGTCATTGAAGTGCGTCTTGAGTCTATTAAAGGGTCTTTGATTGCATTACATGGAGACATTACACAATTATTCTCATTAAAAGAACACAGACTATTTTGAATGATGCATGAGTTCTATAAATGAACTGCAGAACCCAAACGATGTAAATCAGTAAAATAAGTAAATACCATCCTTTGTTCCGAAACATCCAAACCAGTCCTTAAAGAAACACATTTCCTTATTACCATCAGTCGAGCATTTTTGTAAGAAACATTTAAAAAAATTAAAATAGATAATTGATCGATAGAAGTTATCCTCGTTCGCACAAACAACTCTGATTCACATGATGAATATTTGATTACCTTATGACAAATGGAGAATCCTGTATGGTGATAACATTAAGATTATGGTCTGTTATCTTCGCCGTATCCTTCAAACGAATAAAATAAACACAATTCTACGAAGTGTTTGAAAGTCCATTAAAATTTGGCCAAGACCTCTTGAGTCAACAGAATGATGAGAGTGATCGGGATAGACATGATAACCCTATACATCCCATACCCCCCAACCCCGATCCCTCACCCCAATTGATACAGATGGATGATCACAAATATCCTAGTTAGAGAGGTTATCAAGCCAATCAAGCCAAACACATCAAGTATGAAAACTTCAGATAGGAACGGTACTAGGAATAGATTGTCATTATAAAAATAACATTTGGAAGAACGGCATAAAACTTTCAGAGTTATCAGTTTATATGCAATATACCGACATCAAAATTGATCTTAATTGCTATGTGATGTTACAACCTCAGAATATGTCTTAATAGGTTGTTGACGTCATAACCTCAAAATATATTTTAATTGCTATGAGATGTCAGAGCCTCGAGGTATATTTTGATAGGAAGGTCATGTCACAAACTCAAGATATGTCTTAATTATTGTGTAATGTCAGTGTCTAAAGATATGTCTTAATTGGTGTGTAATGTCAGTTTCTAAATATATGTCTTAATTGGTGTGTAATGTCAGTGTCTAAATATATGTCTTAATTGGTGTGTAATGTCAGTGTCTAAAGATATGTCTTAATTGGTGTGTAATGTCAGTGTCTAAATATATGTCAATTGGTGTGTAATGTCAGTGTCTAAAGATATGTATTAATTTAGTGTAATATCAATTTCTGAAGATTCATCTTAATTGTTATGTGATGCCAGGACACATGAAAATATGTCTTAATTTCTATGTAATGTCACAACCTCGACATTTAAACACTGTTTGAACGTAAACCTTTTTCACTATCAGCACACCAAGGTTCGAGATAGAAACTGATATTTCAAAAGCAGTATTATTTCAAGTTTAAACAATAGGTTAATACAAGAACTCCTGTTTATTACAACTGTTTAGAGAATTGTTATGATTCGATGTTTAGCTCTGTTGGAGCTCTCTTTATTTCCAGAGGTTTTTTGCCTCAACGCTGTGTGTCATGTTTGAATTCTTAGGAACGGAATATTGACCATGAAAGAAATTTCTTTGATTATTAGGTAAATGCGTCAATTTTCTACCATTCTACAACATCTAGTAACACTATATAATCAGTCTGTAGGAGTGGCTCACGGTTGTTAACTCCGGGTCAGTGATAAGGTGTTTTTACTTATCGAAAAAAATGTTTGCAAACGGTATAAATCCATGCAGTTGATTCGTACAAACGTTTGTAAACTTTTTCTCATTCACTAATAAAATTTCAATAACCAAAACCGAAAAAACAAAGTACCACAAATACCTAAATATCATTTTACCTTGCTTATTCCTTGCTGCCTTTCTTTACAAAAACCTATAAACCCTATACAATGTAGATATACCTAAGGACGAACTGTTTTCTTATATTCCCGAGAGTCTATAGCACCCATTCCAACATTATATTAATATTCTCCTAAATCCTATCTATAAATTCCATTTTCTATGGTATTTGTATCGCTGTTACAACATTCCTTCTCTAGAATTCGCTCCAATCGCAACGTAAAAGGGACACATAAGTAGCTTTGATTTAAACTGTAAAATATTTTAGTGTGTTTAATTTTGGCGATGAATGATCTCCGCTTTCCTGTTTGTTTAGAAACTTTATTTAGATCTTCCAAAAGAATTTGTTATTTTCAAACATGCCCAAAAACAAGTAGTACGAAAGTACACGTGTACTAGGTCATGACATCGATAGCTTAAATATCAAACGTTGCTTTTGTGCTATTTGTTTGTTTGTCTGTCTGACAGTTGTCAACTTTAACCTTGCCCATAACTATTGCCCTGTAAGAGGTAGAGGTTTCATATTTGGCATGTGTGTTCCTTGTGACAAGACCTTTCCGGTGGAATTTCGACCATGTGACATTGACCGTGACCTATGACCTTCATTTGAAATAAACATTAACATTGGCCATAACTATTGAACTAAAACTATCAAATTATTACCACAATGAAGACTTAAGTATGTATGCAATTAACACATGCTTTGCACTTTACAGTTTTAATGTCCCACTTCAGAATTTTGTTGCAACTGTGGAGCACATGGTTTCATAAACACATCTTGTTGATAACTATCACAAATTTGTTTAACACCGTTACATGACATTCACTTGGTATGACAACTTCGTTTTCAGGAATGGCGAACGCGAGATTAAATACACGTAGGTGATGATTTAAAGTGTATTTCTTAAAAACTCAAGTCAATAAATACTGTTAATTCATTAATTGTTGTGGGAACTTATTTTCATTTATCTTTATGTATACCACTTTAATACGGCGTTAAGGGCTATGCCTATATACCGATTCTCTAATCATGTAAGATTGGACTTCTAACAATAACGTAAACAGTACATGGTTTTGATAGATACATAGTGATGAAGATTTTGGGGAATTTTTTTGACCTTCAGAAATATTCTATCTACGTTTGAGAAGTATTATTAAACGTTACCAGTAAGTATATCTGATGGTTCCATAACCTTTTCATATCTTAGGTATTGTGATCTATTTGACCTTAGTTTGACGTAGATTTATTTGTTGGTCTTCGTTGATGAAGCAGAAGACGCTTAACCATATTGAACACATGAACTTATTGTGATCTATTTGACCTTAGTTTGACGTAGATTTATTTGTTGGTCTTCGTTGATGAAGCAGAAGTCGCTTAACCATATTGAACACATGAACTACCCTGTAGTTCATCGATGATCTATAATTCTTTCGTTTTAGCTATCACGAGTAAGGAGTTTACGGTGTGTGTATACGGCGGTTTTCTTTCTTCTCCTGAGTTATAGGATTAGGTGATGCAGCACACACTCATCGATGGTGTGTTCCTGATTACAGAACCCACTTATCAACGGGTTCCTGATATGTAAGCAACGATATCTTAGGTATGTAAGAGTTGCTCCCCTTTGGTATGTACATTTTGCTCTATAAACCAATATCAAAGGAAACGTGGTGAGATATATTTTCTCTTCAAACAAATTTAACTGAAGTATTGTGAAAGTCTTTCATCTTCAACCAATGACAGCAGCACTAGAGCCATCCCTGAAAATATAATATGATACAAAACATCCATTTATTACATCAATACAGGAAGTCTTGGATGAATGTGACACAAATTCCTTTGTTACGTCATTTCCTTATTTGTCTATGACTATTAATTTACCAAACAGTAAATAAAAACACACACTAATTATAAAATAACTCACCTAACACGTGCGTGAAAATAATATGTTGGTATTCATTAAATATAAAATATCAAAATATGAAAAAAATAAAAAAATACACACATGAAAATGCCTCTCATAATTTATTATCATTTTGTAAACAAGAGGTATATATTATTAAAAAAAAGGAACACATTCTACACACGAAGCCCAGTCCTACTGATCAAGTAATATGGTGTTTAGTGTTACAGCACCGGACTATTTTTTGATATTACATTTTTGGTGTTATTAAGGATTTCGTGTACAAACCTGATCTCACAAACAAAATTGTATGCGTTTTCACATTCTCTGTCAATCCAATAATAATGATTGCAATTTAAATCTGCTACCATACAGTCCTGGGCGTGATTTAGATCGTTCGGATCGCCTGCCCTCCAGTTAGTGTAATTAAGTCTCTGGTCACTATCACTCCATCGCCAGTCTCCCTCCACAAACATGTCTGTTCCCCCAAACCAGAAATACCTATCCTGGATGTGTCCATCTAAATGTGCAAAATACAATTGTTAGTGATTGTTGATAGGTGAGCGTAATGTTGATAACTTGTTCTAATGTTGTACCAAACAGTATATAAAATTGTGATTATGCACTCTTCAGGACTCGGTCAAGAATTTGAAATCTAGTTATAGTGAAACAACATTTCACTTATTGTATTAAGATACAGAATGATAAAATCAATAACACAGCAGACGTTTTCAGAGATACAAATAATAAGTAAATACATAAATAAAATTAAAAATAAAAAAACAAAAAAAAAAAAAACAAAAACAAAATAAGATATTTTTTTTAAAAATGTCTAGAGGATCGGTTCAATGTACAATATAAAGCAAAAATTATTACGAAATGTTTCACTTTTTTAATAAAAAGTTGGGTAAAAAAGAAAGCATTCCTTTCGGAAATAATTGATGTTTGAGTTTATTGTATATCGGGAGTCATCTTATCTGTCTCATTGAATTATTAAACTAAAGACACTCCTAAACGTATTTTTTTTTTTTTTATTAAAAATTAATATCATTTCAAGAAAACTTACACGTGATATATCTGGTGATATAAATAAATCCGGAGACCGTTACCATGACTAAATTTATGAACGTTTATGAATAATTAACCTTATTTGTCTTAAATAAGAAATCGGAACTTGCTATGATATCGGATGATAAGCTGTTTCAGAAAGTTGTCCTCGTATCCATTTTGAACCTCGGCAAGATGGGCATGAAATACTCCACATGTTGCCTGTAAAAATAACTTATACGTTATTATTGTAATGGTGAAATGACTCAACCCATCCTATAATGATGTTTAGAAGTATTGTGAACCTCTTATGCATAACAACAGAAACGAAGCACGAATTCAGTTATAAACTATACAACATGCTGTGTCAGTGCAGGTCATATCGCCACTTCAGAAGAATTCCGTCGACAGAAACAAACGAAAAATCTTGTTCTTAGTTATAAATCAGAGCAGTAGTAACATTTGTCTGAGAAATGAAAGTCATATTTACCGAAGCCGCTGACCAGTCTTCCGTTATATCGGACACAAAATAGCAGGAACCATCGAACGTTTCCCAGCCGTTCGGACATCCTCGGACTACTGCGGCTGATTAAATCAGGATATTTTACTGTTAGATGTTATGTTTCTTAACATGAAAAAGCGGGAAGTATTTAAAACATTGTTACCGGAAATCAGAAAATTATGTATGACCTGGTAAAAACGTTAGAAGCACATACAAGTGTCTATGCAAGCGTCTTTGCCATCAATGGCATATGATCAATAAAGTTAATTTTGTACTTTCACATTGTTGTAGAAGAGTAAATTCCGTTCCTACCTTGTATCACCAGAGCACAAACAAGCCCGAGTTGTTTATTATACGTCATTTTACGACTGAACTGTAACTAAAGACCAAATACAACTTAACCATTTCATGAGTGCATTTACAAGACATAGATAAGCCCTTATCATGCACTCTATCTGTGATTGTCAAAATAGAGCGGGGTGCAATCATCGAATCGTTTTATACACATTTGATGCATAAAATAGTATCTTATTCTATTGTATTGTAAAATTGTTCTCGCTTTTTAAAATTATTTCATTCCGTTGATAAAGAATACTGTCTTCCTGGACTAAAACAAGTACAGACTAAATTAGTATACATTTAGATACCGCCCCCGCCTTTCAATTTATCAGCTGGACTTTAATTTCCCGACCAGACATATAGATCACGTGCTTGGTGATACGACTTTTTTTTAATACAATTTTTGGCCATACAGATTTTTCCTGTTCTGTCTTCTACTTCTGATAGTATTTAGTTGAATCTATAGTCCTTGAATATCGAAGAACGTAGATGCCCGAAAAATAAATTGACAATGTCTTTGTTATAAGCACTTCTCATTATGAGTTCACGATGCGGGCACTGTTAGTTCCCATCACTGTTCATTTAGCAATAGTCTGCCGATAATAACCAAAATTTAAATATTTTCCTGAAAACGTTAAGCTTTGTACTCTATAAAGCGAGAATCATACGATACTTTCCATTTACGTGTTCAGGGTTTGTATAATTATAACATTTAGAATATGATAAATTATGATTCTTGAACAATTGAGATGCCCTTCACATTCGTTTACAAAGAAACGCTTCAGGGATGGCAGTTGGAAGTCAATCTGATGAAACCAGAACTATAAGAACAGCACTCTTCTAACCTATGATAAACGTGACAATTTCGATTTCTTAATTTTGAACTTTACATTTCTATCTGGCAACATTCCTGCTTTCCCTCCCAATGATATTTACATGTTGTAGTTGATCCGATATCAAATGACTTGTTCCAAAAATCATTATTTCCACAAAAACGGTTGATAGCTGACAACTGACAACACACAGGCATTTGAGATATGCAAGTTGATAAGAAGGAGGAGGAAGATGGCAACGTTTGAAGGTCATCATCATTATTACCACATCGGAACATATTGTATCCCATTGTCCGATATGAAGTTAGGCGCTGTTAGATCCTAGGGACATGATGAATTTCATGCAATTTGAAACATCATTACAAAACCGAACAAATATCGATAGAAATATCGGCCTACTTGATGACTGTGCAGTGCAATGCATAAATGTTAAAATTGTGTATCCTAATGTGTCTGTATTATTATCGTGTTAAACACTTCGATGACTAAGTACGTTGATGTGAATCATTACACTGTTTGTTTTGTGTACTCGTGAAATCAGTGAAATGACTGTACCATTTTACTGAGTCGCCATTTTAAATGACAGTTCGCTTAGATTACATGATTTCCTCAGGATCTGAAAACCTGGACATTTTGGTTCCATTTTATGACGTTGTGGTGGTCTATATACGTTGAGATGGAATTTTTCATTAAAGCGTGAACGATTTTCGTATTCGAGATTTTAAAAAGTATGTATTTTTTCACTAGATTCTTTGCTTCCTAATCAAATATTCAGAGTAACTCGATAAATCCAGTATTAGACACTCGCTTTGGAAGTGCAGTTACCTAAAAGGATAAACACTTTTGTTTACAAAGAAGCAAAATAAAAAGACGGTGTGAAACAGAACATTTAGTATATTTGATGTACTTAACAACTAAGCCAGCTTCATCAAATAACGACAGTAACAAAAAGTCAGCTTCATCCAACAACGACATTAACAACTAAGTCAGCGTCATACAATAACGACAGCAACAACAAGGTCAGTGTCATCCAACAACGACACCACTAGTATCCTCACTGCAGATAAAATAATAATTATAATGACTTTATAATGAAGCACAGATCACGATGTAAACAACGTCAAGCTAGCATGTTACAGGGTTCTGATTGAGTTACTGGTTCAATATGTGTTATACATCAATACAAGCTAACATGTCACAGGGTTCTGATGGAGTAACTGGTTCAATATGTGTTATACATCAATACAAGCTGACATGTCACAGGGTTCTGATGAAGTAACTGGTTCAGTATGTTTTATGCATCAGTTACAGGTTTCTGATGGAGTAACTGATTCAATATGTTTTATACATCAATACAAGCTGACATGTCACAGGGTTCTGATGAAGTAACTGGTTCAGTATGTTTTATGCATCAGTTACAGGCTTATGATGGAGTAACTGGTTCAATAATTTTTATACATCAATACAAGCTGACATGTCACACGGTTCTGATGAAGTAACTGGTTCAATATGTTTTATACATCAATACAAGCTAACATGTTACAGGGTTCTGATGGAGTAACTGGTTCAATATGTTTTATACATCAATACAAGCTAGCATGTTACAGGGTTCTGATGGAGTAACTGGTTCAATATGTGTTATACATCAATACAAGCTAACATGTTACAGGGTTCTGATGGAGTAACTGGTTCAATAATTTTTATACATCAATACAAGCTAACATGTTACAGGGTTCTGATGGAGTAACTGGTTCAAAAAAGAAATATGTGGCATTTTAATCTTAATTGCTTACAGAAACAATATCTCATACAAATGGGTTCCAAAGTTATATTTATGTTTTGGTATTCATTTCTGTATTCGCCTCGCGTTTTTGCAACTGGAATACCTGAAAACCTCTAAATAGATACGCGATTTATTTTCTGAAATAATGAGCAAACTCAGGCTTGGTAATGTAAGTAACTTAAGGATTACTGATCATGGTGAAACAAACCTAGATCCACTTTAACAAACAATGTAGAACTTTGGTTTATGTACATACTATACTAAACGTAATTGATTAATTGATTGATTGATTGATTGATTGATTAATTGATTGATTGATTGATTGATTGATTGACAGGTTTTCCGTCTCTGTGACTCCTCCCTTTTCCGGGTATCATCTCACCGACGAACGTCAGTATTCTGGCGACGTGAATACGTCACGTAAGTTAACGAATACAAACATACCCAATCTCACAAATGAAGTTGTTTCTGTCGTTACACTTCAGATCACGCCAATATAAGTGCGAGCTGCTGAGGACTGCTGCTATACAATTCTCCTCATGATTATCGTCTGGTTCATCTGGGTTCCAGTTTGTGTAACCGAAACGCTCATCATTTTCCAACCATCGCCAATCTCCCTCCACAAACGAGTCTGATCCTCCCAACCAAAACATCCTACCGTGCGAATGTGCATCTAAGTAAATAAATGGATTTACGTCGTATAATGTAACTGTATAACATCTATTTGTTATTATCATCATTTCACAATATTAATTGATGAATTGTACAAAAATAGATAAATGAATAACGAAATAAAGTGAAGATTAGCAATTTTAGCAAATTCTAGAATTAGAGTAAACTAAATAATGAATTGGAGTACACCATACCGCTGTTTCGTCCTTCTAGGACTTGCCAGTGATGCTAAGGGCCTAATGTGTGAAACCTAGGAGCTGAGAGACGAAAATCCAAAGTGGTCGAAAACAGTCAAGACCAAGACGGGGAGGTGCATTAGCCCTTTAGTTAAATAAATATAGTAATTTTCCCAAGTCGGATAATCTTAGAAGAAAGTTAAGAGCATGTGTTTGTCCTGAACCACGCCAATATTCGAATGAATTAAGTGTCATGCAGGTTATGTAGTATCACTCTCTCTCTAAAAAAGTAGCAAGCCCACTTTTCACGAATACAGTATATTGACTTTACATCCAATATTTTCTCATAAAACAATGAAATGCAGTGCAGTATATGTTGTGGACAGTACTTGTGGACTTTTAATCTCCGAGGTTGGCCATGACCTGCATGCCACGGTTTCATTTATTTAATATAGCCATGTTTCAGACGGGGATTTTTTATGATAAAAAATCAATGAAAGTCACGAAATCTATTGAATTGTGGGACTTTTTTTTTCTCCATTAGGTTCGATTTTCCTTGATCGCATTTCCAACGTTTCAACATTTAGACCCTTAGCATCACCGATGAGTTCCAGCAAGACGAAACAGCTGTACAGAAATGCAGCGGTAATTCTGAATTTGTCTTCGAATGCGCTGTTCACCTTTTTGTTTTTTGTAAATCTATAACAACGAGGGATTGTTTTTGGCCAAGTTCCTAACACGCTAACACATTTACACTCACAGAAACACTTTGAATATGACTACAAGGGTCATTTTTATTTTTATCCTATTTTATTTTAAGAGATCTTTTAAAAAAGTAATTCAAATTGTGTTACATTTAAAACTGATTTAGATATACATTTGTTGAAATGCTGAAGCTACATACCATGATACTTGTTGACCAACTGTTTCAGAAAATTGTTCTCGTACGCATCTTCAATCTCAGCTAGATGAGCATGGTACAATTTACATGTGCTCTGTAAAAGGAAGCACAAACTTTGTTACAAGAAGGTATTTTGACTGATTGTATACCAAAGAAAAACATTCATCCATTCTGACAATAACGAAATCAGTGAGAATATATTTAAAAAAAAAAAAACCACACACACACACACACATATATATATATATATATACTGATAGACAACGTACACTATGACATTCTTCCATTCTGACAACAATAACGAAATCAGTGAGAATATATTTACATATATATATATACAACGTACACTATGACAGTCAGGTGTAGGAACGTTAGGTATATTTGAGCACAACAGCAGCATATTGCAATTAATGAAATACATACTGCTGAAGGACATTATAGTTACCAATGCCGCGGACCAGTCTTCCGACATGTTGGGCACAAAGTAGCAGGAGCCTTCAAATGATTCCCAGCCGTTCGGACATCCTCGGACCGCTGTGTATGATGTACATGATGCAAGTATAAAACAAATAACCATAATTTTGAATGCAACACAGAGAGAGAGAGAGAGAGAGAGAGAGAGAGAGAGAGAGAGAGAGAGAGAGAGAGAGAGAGAGAGAGAGAGAGAGAGAGAGAGAGAGAGAGAGACGTAATGCTTGAAGTCAGAACCAGAAAATCCCTTTAGAACAATCAAGTATGTTTGCTCTCGCACAAGAAATGACTCGTTAAATTATCAATAAAAATGGCAAAATAATTTTGATGACAATGAATAGATCAATGGAAAAGCTTTACTAAATGTTTGCTCTATAAACTTCAATGATTAAGTCCGTCTGATAGCTTGTGTGACGTAAGTTGGGTGCATCGGCATTCATACTTCATATTTTCACTGTATAAATATGGTAAATAAGTTTTCCTGACGTAGTGACATGGAAAAGACGTATAGATACATATATGACAAGCTATCATTTTGATATATATTGAGTCTCAATAAGATTTATTACTAAATCTTGAAGCTCATAAAAACGAATTCCATTCTTACCGTTGATAATTAGGATGGTACACAAAAGACCTAACCGTAAGATATAAACCATTTTCACGTTCCCGATGCCTCTATTGCTATCTCCGCTAACTCAAAAGTACTGTCTTATCTCCGTACCATTTTGACCTCATCCAAGGAAAACTGAGGTCAAAACTAACTTCCGAAAAAACCCAGTAGTTACACATCATGAGAATGACAACATGTCCTTCCAAACTATTGAGTAACAATTGTTCAGTCAACGCCTTACTAATACACCCCCCCACCATCAAACGATTCCTTATCTACGCTTTTGTCGCCTACTGATATGATATGGCGTTTACATATCAACTGAGAATGCCTACTACTTTTATTTTCATTTCCGAAATATTGTATAGATCATAATGCAACCAGAATTGGACAACAGGCAAAGCCTATGAAAGATTGTACAAAAGACATACAAGTGAATAGCACCTTTTCATGATTTCGGGTGAGGTACAGTAACGCCAAACAATGAATAAAACTGCATCATACAGTTGTTTCGGCCTCCGAGGATTCGTCAGTGTTGTCAAACTTTTGAGGCCCAGGAGGCGACTAAAGCCAGCTCTTCAACAAATTGAACACAATACACATCAATTTAATTACAAATCTGCATAACAGTTACAAAATAGTGTGTAATGATGAAATATGAAAAAAAGAGATATGACTACTTGATTTTTTTATCATTATGCTACATATTTTTTATAATTCATAAAATCTACCACAGATATCAGTCCGTTACTTGGTCGGCAGGTCACCACAGAGAAATTGTCCATTAAATTTCGGAACAATTTCTTCATGTTGGTAATGTCAACAGAATAGTAACAAGACCAGTATAAGATTTGTGTGTGACGTTTCGATGACTATATAGTCACCTTTATCAGACAAATGACCAGTAAAGCGTACTAGTACTGACGAATTTAGTGCACGAGCTGATAAGGACTCGACCTACTTTTTCGACTGTACTATAATCCTATATACGTTGTACACTAGAGTCGAAAATAGTATGACGAACAGGTAAACTGGCCTATCATGATTTTACCAGCAGACATGTTGAAACAACAGTCATCATGGACACTGACGAATACGTGAACAAGTCACAGTTTTGCTCGAAGAAAACAAAACATATGTAAAACTCAAGAACAACCCTACCCAAAAGTTCACAAACTGCGGGTATCTATCTTATCAAAACTAAAGCAATGAAATAAGATAACCGAATCACAATATAGACACCTGTATCCCACTGCAGAGAACATAGTTAGAATGTACTGCACACCCAAGGTCCAAAAATAAGGGAACTCACTACAGCCTATATTGCACTATACTGGTTCCATTGGTTACAATGTCTCCGGGTCACTAGCAGACATTTTGGGACCCCTGGTGGGAAAATCAACAACACACCAACCAACAAGGCACTTGAGATCATTAGAGGCGACATAGAGTAAGACCGGTCATTGCAAAAGAACACCAATCTCCATATCCAAGACCTCACGGTTTCATTAGAATTTGAACATACAACAACATACTTTGCCTTCTGAGATATCCTCATCAGCAACGGCTTGGTAAGGCCACGTGTAGTCCAGTGTCTCCGATTGTGGCCAAACTATTCATGGCGAAGAGGCTGTGGCCACCGTAGAATGCAATCCAAGTCTGGAAGCGGTATATTAATAGCATATTGAAATATTAAAAAAAAGGTCACAGAAAGTTCTGACTGAACATATCAATATCGTAGATACCACCAACAGCATCATATTCACTGTGATGAAGAAATCAATGGCACTAAACTATTTCCCGACACCCTCCTTGTAAAGAATAAAATGACAGTACTATCAAAGTATTTGTCTATAGGAAAAAGACGCACACTTACCAATACCTCAACTTCCAATCGCAAAACTCCTTACACCAAGTTTGGCGTTGCTCAAACATTGCTCCATAGATGTGAATTGATTATCAAAGAAAAACAAGACAAGAAACAATAACAAAATCACATGCATAGCGACATGAAAATATATGGATGCCCCTATAGAGGAGTCCAGAAAGGTAACAACGAAGTTGATAAAAGCAAAAAGGCGAAGAGACGAAAGATCATCTACTAAAAGCGATTAATATTATCAAGGAATCTCTTAACTAAATCCACAATATATAGTGGTTTCATCGTGATTAGGACAGTCATGTAGAAAGGGTTTGGAAGGTAGAAGAAATGGCATCACTAAGAGCAGAAAAAGAGTTAAAGAGAAGTTGTCTTTGATGAAGTGACCACAATCCTCTACACGAAATCCACATAAGCAGGCAGAGCTATATGTTGGATCGGGGACTTAAACCCATCTACGTTAAAGTAGTTTTCTTAGATGGCAAAATAGCCCATACAATATCTGCATATTCAGGAATAGGACGGATAAATGTTTAACATGTAGGCCATACAATATCTGCATATTCAACAATAGGACGTACACATGTTTTCTTTATAGCCTATACAATACAAGTTTACTTCCGACTCTAGTTCGACGCCAATATCATTTACATATAATAAAAAAAGATATTGTCCTAAAGCTGATCCCAGTAGTACCCTGCCGTTAGGGTTTTCCATGTAGATTTAGAGCCATTTATGATAACCCTTTTCTCCTATTTGTTAGGTTGGATCCGAATTATTTTAACATATTATCACATATACCATGCTTTTTCCCATTTAGAAATCAAACCATTGTACCAAACATTATCAAATACCTCGAGATGTTTGACGATTTCATCATGGATACTTAATAGCTAAAAAAGAAGACAGAAGAATTTTAGGGTGATGCTGAAAAATCATATTTTCTCATGGCAGAGATTTTATGAAAATAAGGAGTAATTGATATGGGTTAGTTGGGTCTCAAATTTCATGTGTAGATCCCTCTTGGTCCTTAGTTGTGTCATTTTGTCTGTGCGACTGATTTGATAAAGCTAAAAATGGCCGATATGTGACAATCTTGTATTTGGCAGTAAAAGATTATTATCGCCATTTCTGGACAGAAAATTTTTAATTTCATATAATTCAGAGCAAAAAATGAGGGGAAAAAAGAGGGAAAAGATCAACTTTAAAAGAGCAAGAAATCAGACAATGATGGGCGTCAAGATCCCTCTGGAATCTCTCATCGAATTCTGTCGATTGACCAATCATCTCATCACATGATGCTGAAAATCTTTGAGAGAAATTTATATTGATGTTTGATTAGAAAGAGTGTTTTCCCGTTGATGAGTTATCAGTTATCAAATTGTATTATTGCTATGTAGGACGCATTAGGGTATTTTAATGATAGTGTGCATTCGACAGGCCATGTGATTGTGTATATCTGACAGGACACGTGATCGTGTACATCTGACGGGACATGTGATCGTGTACATCTGACGGGACATGTGATTTTGTACATCTGACGGAGCATGTGATTGTTAACATCTGACAGGTGTGACATACATGACGGGATCTGAATGTGATCGTGTACATCTGACGGGACATGTGATTTTGTACATCTGACGGAGCATGTGATTGTTAACATCTGACAGGACATGTGATCGTGTACATCTGACGGGAAATGTGATCGTGTACATCTGACGGGAAATGTGATCTTGTACATCTGACGGGGCATGTGATTGTTAACATCTGACAGGACATGTGTTCGTGTAAATCTGACGGGGCATGTGATTGTGTACATCTGACGGGACATGTGACCGTTACATCTGACAGGACATGTAATCTTTTACATCCAATTTACTAAATCCTTTCAGCGTATAGCTACATTCCGATATCGCTTTGTTGTCAGTAAATTTAATCCGTTTTAAGTTTTAATAATAATACCGTAAACACTTCATCATAATTTTGTACATAGATAGGATTAACATTACACCTGTGTACGATGGCATCTACAGAAAATTTTATTTCTCCTTAGGGTCTAGATGTACTATTTTATATTTATCTCAGTCGAAACTCACAGTGACTCCTTAAACCCGTCCATGGATCAACATTCAGAATAATGTCCATGTAATTTACAAAGAATAAATATAAATCAAACTATGATTTTTTAAAACCTTTTATTTGATATAATTTTAAATATATATATATGTTCTTTAAAATCGTGTTATATCCGTAATGATTCGAGAAACAATATGTGTGATTATTAAGTTCCATTGCCACTCCGGGAAATTTATTGATTCACTTTCGACCAAATTCAATCCATTGAAACCTGAAAGAAAATATAGAAATAGGACAGAAAAAAACCCCAAAACAATTACTTGTATACGTACCCTCATTGCCTTCAGTACCAAAGACATTGCCACGATCTTCATTATCTCTGTAGTTAGTGAACTGTATTATAGAACTGAAGAAAAAAATCTTAACTGCCTAACTTGTAACTGATCAAAATATGTAGCTTAAATTCTTCAGCTCAAAGAAGAGCTTCAATGACTTCTGAACGGATCGCTAAGAACATTTGTTGAATTACCAACACTGTCACTTTGATTGACGACAAATCAGTTCACACGATAATATCACTGACTACAAATCAGTTCTACTTACTAGCAGTTCTTACAGTTACAGACAACCATTCTCAAGATAGTTTTATGGAATAATTAGCTGATCTCGAGATATTATCACTGAATAAGTAACAGTTCTCACAATAGCTGTTCTGAGAGTTGTTCTCGTGTTATATTAAATGAACATACCTGTTCTCCTTTATCTCACAAATATAAAAAATTCTGATCATGCATGGTCGATCTCTCCATCGGAAAGTCGAATGAGAATAAGTGAGATATCCTTCTAAACAGTCCTCGCCAGAGGAGTGGTGATTGTTTGGCTCGCCCGGGTTCCAGTTAGTGTAATCCAGGTACTGACCACTTTCATACCATCTCCAGTCTCCTTCCACAAATATGTCATTCCCGCCGAGCCAAAAGTCACGATGGTCAGCTGAGTACAAAAGCAATCATTGATGAAATAAGAATGAATATAGTGACGATTCTTTTTCGTCCTTTTGATTGCAATCCAAAAGATTTTGTACAATGATTTTTCGTATTTTCAAACATGTATTAAGGTAAACAAGAAAATAATACCGTCACTGTGAAAGACACAGGAGTGAATGAAAAGCGCTCGAGACGTCAATACATCAGCATTATCAATCTCATTAACATAAATGAAAGCACAGCCTACTATGAAGTTGTATAAGCATTTGCCTCAAGAAATTGTCCTCTTGTGCATCTTCAACTTCAGCGAGGTGGGCGTGGAACGATGAACATGCGTCCTGTTTAAGATATCAAAGTTATTAAAGTGTTACATGGAGACAACTGACATAGTACCACGAGAACAAGATACGTTTTTCGGAAGTTTAAGTAACTTCTGAGGTCTTCATGAATGTCACCATATGAACATTGGTCAATCTAAGTATGTAATGTCAAGTTCCTAAATGAGAACAATGTTAACAAAAATGAAACCAAATGTCAGACTTACGAGCATTAAACATGTCCAACTGCAAAATGCACACACAAAACAAAATCTCAATGACATTATTATGAAGACTTTAAAACTTACTCATGAATGGCTCTTTTTTTTTATCTTAATAACATATATCAAATCAACGAATGACCAACTCATTCAGAACAACGACAGGAAAATATGCAAATCAATTACGAGAGCCAAATTAATCAAATATCAATAAAATTTTAATGAAAAAAGTTATGAATATTTATTAATTAGTCTTTGAAATGTATTCCAGACAATGTACAATCAAAGTCGTCTAAGTTACCGATGCTGCAGTCCAGTTTTTCCTGTCATCGGACACAAAATAGCAGGAACTATTATAGGTTTCCCAGCCGTTTGGACATCCACAGATCACTGGAAATCAATCAGCTATAAGCGTTTAACATGGAACAAGCCATGTAGCAGTACAGTCGACACATGACTCTATATATTGTTAAAATATAACAATTAATTGGACATTAATATTTAACTTCCAATAAGACAAAACTTTGTTGTAAGTCAGGAGTTAAATCATAAAGACTTTAAAATGTTGTATGTTGTTGAAAAGTATATTACCGTGAAAAAGTAAAACAAACATCTTCAGTGAAAATAATAGTGCCTTTAAATAAGTCCTCACATTGAATTCTTCTAAAATTACTATCTGAAAGAAAATCGTGTGATAAATCCCTGCTACAGTATGTTTATACATGTATTATGATCAGAGACACCAACGAAATGTATGTTATTATCTTCGAAAAACACTGTGAAATTTAAGTTTGAGATAGATGCGTATGATCACAAATCTTACCCTGACCCAACACAACTATGAAAATCGGACCGAATCTTGCAAGGTAAGTCATTGTTGTTGTACCGTCAAAAACCGATCTATACTACATTGTAGACATGACCAACAGATAACGACTTATCTTATAACGTAACATATAATGGTTTCTACTGAGGACCACCTATACAGAAGAGGGGAAGTGGACTAAGAATATAGAAAAGTTAAAACTGGAATATTGTATTATTATCTTATGTTTATTTCCGACAAGTAACTGCATTATTATTGAGTAACGGCACCAGTTGCAGGCTCAGTCACGGTCAGCCAATCACGATTGCTCCAGAACTGTCACTGAAAGTAAAGTACTTCAAGTACTGGTGCATAAGTGATTTGGAGAGTCTCTTAACGAATGAGGATATAATTTCAAAAATAAGCAAGCTGTGAATGTATCAATTAAATTTAATACTTGTATCCTTATTAATGACACATGTGTATCCTTGGTAATGTCACATTTGTATCATTTGAATTAAGAGATTGTTTAACGATGTCAATCAAGGCTTTAGATCACCCTTTTATATTTCTTTGGACAATTAACAAGCATCACTAACAGGACAGAATATTATATCTATTTTACTGTTATGTTAGTCATTTGGTTATTTTTTTTTTTAAATTTCTTATTGTTTTTTCTTTTTTGTGTTCTAAAATCCTCACAAAAATATCATGTAAAGACCGTTTATTGAAATTGTCCTGAATTTTCGATATTCCTGTAATATTACTATGGCTGGTTTGAAACATTCGGCAAAATTAACACGTTCAAAACACTATCAACATTTAAAGAATCTCCAGTTTTTAAATATGCTTCTTCACCTTAATGCAGACTTACCCGATCTCACAAATGAAGTTATTTTGTTCTTTGCATGGTCTATCATCCCATCGATACTCTCGATTTTGCCTTATTGCAACAATCAAACAATCTTCTTTTTGGCTATGGTAGCTGTTTGGTTCGCCGGGGTACCACTTTGTGTAGTTGAAACGCTGGTCAGAGTATACCCATCGCCAGTCACCTTCCACAAATATGTCCGCCCCGCCTAACCAATATTCAGCATCATTCGAGTGGCCATCTACAGAAATAAAACGACTCGCAAAAGAATAATGAATTGATTGTCAGTATATAACAAAGACATCATGAGCACAGGTAGAGTTTTGTATTGTTTTGAATTTGTATATAATTTGCTTTTTGTGAACAACTGACGGTAAGAAAAAAAAGTACTGATGAAGATAATGGAGTATTGACATAATTTCACTATCACTATCACTGATGCTCGTTAGTATGCCTTGTGATTTAGTTGTCATCGTCTGGTGCTTATCTTTCACGTTTATCTAGGTCACCTGCTCGATCTTTTATCTGTCTTTTTTCTGTAAGAATCCTGGTCTTATTCCACAGGTCCTTTCTAGGTAACTTTATTCTAATTTTCATACGGTTTTTTTTTCTTTTAAGAAACCTGGTTCTATTCTTCACGTATATTTTTTATTATGAGATCTGTTATCTATTCTTCTTGTTTTTAGAAAACCTGGTCTTTTTCACGTGTTTTTTCGTAATCTATTCTCATTCTTCACGTTTTCTTTATTATAGGTGCCTGATCTTATGGTTGATGTTTAGAAATTATGTCTTCATGTGTTTTTTTATCACAGGTGGTATATATTTCCTTTGTTCATATTTTGAGTGTTTTGGAGTTTTGAGGTATGTTTGCTCGTAATTCCTTTTTTTAGCATAAATTTATGTGCAACTTTCATTTCTCGATTTAAAATTCTCACTCGCTAAATGGGCTGAAAGGTCAGCATGATTTATTAAATGCCTATAAATAGTGATAAAAAAACGGCACCTTACCATGATATTTCGAGATTATTTGTTTAAGAAAGGTGTCCTCCCTTGCGCTTTCAATTTCAGCAAGATGGGCATGATACAATCCACATGTTGACTGAAATTGTTAACAAATTCTTAAAATCAGTCTGGAAGTAATATGAATCAATCTTCAAATAAAATGAAAATACCTCCATTTACCTACAACATCCCCACCCAAACCCTCGAAAACGATAATCATGTCAGAATCATGGTTAATTTTTACATTCTATTCAATTTACAAATTCTCAAATGAAAATAAAAACGACCAAGGAATCTTTGCTGTGCGCTCTTTCAACCATAAGCAAATTCAAATATCTGTTTCATTTCAACTAATTTCATTGTATAAAAAATTTGATGACTTGATAGACCTATACAAACTATCAATATTGGTGGTATGAAATATACATTATATATTTTGCATATAATCATATAGTTATAATATATTTGTGAGAATATTACCATTTATTCATACACACTCATTCAAGTAAAAAACTGAAGTCAAAACTAACTTCCGAAAAAACCTAGTAGTTACACATCATGAGAATGACAACATGTCCTTCCAAACTATTGAGTAACAATTGTTTAATCATCGCCTTACTACTACATATACCTCACAACTTCCAAAAATAACCCCCCTCCCCCATCAAACGATTCCTTATCTACGCTTTTTGTCGCCTACTGATATGATATGGCGTTTACATATCAACTGACAATGCCTGTTACTTTTATTTTCATTTCCGAAGTATTGTATAGATCATAATGGAAACGGAATTGGACAACAGGCAAAGCCTATGAAAGATTGTACAAAAGACATACAAGTGAATAGCACCTTTTCATAATTTCGGGTGAGGTACAGTAACGCCAAACAATGAATAAAACTGCATCATACAAGCCTCCGAGGATTCGTCAGTGTTGTAAAACTTTTGAGGCCCAGGAGGCGACTAAAGCCAGCTCTTCAACAAATTGAACACAATACACATCAATTTAATTACAAATCTGCATAACAGTTACAAAATAGTGTGTAATGATGAAATATGAAAAAAAAGAGATATGACTACTTGATTTTTTTATCATTATGCTACATATTTTTTATAATTCATAAAATCTACCACAGATATCAGTCCGTTACTTGGTCGGCAGGTCACCACAGAGAAATTGTCCATTAAATTTTGGAACAATTTCTTCATGTAGGTAATGTCAACAGAATAGTAACAAGACCAGTATAAGATTTGTGTGTGACGTTTCGATGACTATATAGTCACCTTTATCAGACAAATGACCAGTAAAGCGTACTAGTACTGACGAATTTATTGCACGAGCTGATAAGGACTCGACCTACTTTTTCGACTGTACTATAATCCTATATACGTTGTACACTAGAGTCGAAAATAGTATGACGAACTGGTAAACTGGCCTATCATGATTTTACCAGCAGACATGTTGAAACAACAGTCATCATGGACACTGACGAATACGAGAACAAGTCACAGTTTTGCTCGAAGAAAACAAAACATATGTAAAACTCAAGAACAACCCTACCCAAAAGTTCACAAAGCTGCGGGTATCTATCAAAACTAAAGCAATGAAATAAGATAACCGAATCACAATATAGACACCTCTATCACACTGCAGAGAACATAGTTAGAATGTACTGCACACCCAAGGTCCAAAAATACAGCCTATATTGCACTATACTGGTTCCATTGGTTACACTAGCAGACATTTTGAGACCCCTGGTGGGAAAATCAACAACACACCAACCAACAAGGCACTTGAGATCATTAGAGGCGACATAGAGTAAGACCGGTCATTGCAAAAGAACACCAATCTCCATATCCAAGACCTCACGGTTTCATTAGAATTTGAACATACAACAACATACTTTGCCTTCTGAGATATCCTCACCAGCAACGGCTTGGTAAGGCCACGTGTAGTCCAGTGTCTCCGATTGTGGCCAAACTGTTCATGGCGAAGAGGCTGTGGCCACCGTAGAATGCAATCCAAGTCTGGAAGCGGTATATTAATAGCATATTGAAATATTAAAAAAACGGTCACAGAAAGTTCTGACTGAACATATCAATATCGTAGATACCACCAACAGCATCATATTCACTGTGATGAAGAAATCAATGGCACTAAACTATTTCCCGACACCCTCCTTGTAAAGAATAAAATGACAGTACCATCAAAGTATTTGTCTATAGGAAAAAGACGCACACTTACCAATAACTCAACTTCCGATCGCAAAACTCCTTACACCAAGTTTGGCGTTGTTCAAACATTGCTCCATAGATGTGAATTGATTATCAAAGAAAAACAAAACAAGAAACAATAACAAAATCACATGCATAGCGACATGAAAATATATGGATTCCCCTATAGAGGAGTCCAGAAAGGTAACAACGAAGTTGATAAAAGCAAAAAGGCGAAGAGACGAAAGATCATCTACTAAAAGCGATTAATATTATTAAGGAATCTCTTAACTAAATCCACAATATATAGTGTTTTCATCGTGATTAGGACAGTCATGTAGAAAGGGTTTGGAAGGTAGAAGAAATGGCATCACTAAGAGCAGAAAAGGAGTTAAAGAGAAGTTGTCTTTGATGAAGTGACCACAATCCTCTACACGAAATCCACATAAGCAGGCAGAGCTATATGTTGGATCGGGGACTTAAACCCATCTACGTTAAAGTAGTTTTCTTAGATGGCAAAATAGCCCATACAATATCTGCATATTCAGGAATAGGACGGATAAATGTTTAACATGTAGGTCATACAATATCTGCATATTCAACAATAGGACGTACACATGTTTTCTTTATAGCCTATACAATACAGTTTACTTCCGACTCTAGTTCGACGCCAATAATTTTTTTTTAATTTTTATTTTTTTTGCACATTTTTCAACATGAATGACATTACAAAAAACACACAATGGCATATACCCACACAATCACACAGATCAATACCATCCATCATCATCGTGAAACCTGGTGATGTCAAAATCATCATCATCATCATCATCATCATCATCATCATCATCATCATCATCAGCATCATCTTCATCGTCATCAATATCATCATCATCATCATCATCATCATCATCATCATCATCATCAATCATCATCACATTATCATCATTGTCACTTCATCGTCATCTGCTTGATCAATCGTCATCATAGATCATCATCATCATCATCATCATCATCATCATCATCATCATCATCATCTATACACTGTCAATATTATATTTTGATTATGTACACATACACCCACACACACACTCACCATAAACCACGCATGCACACACACACACACACATTAGGAGAGAGAGAGAGAGAGAGAGAGAGAGAGAGAGAGAGAGAGAGAGAGAGAGAGAGAGAGAGAGAGAGAGAGAGAGAGAGAGAGAGAGAGAGAGAGAGAGAGAGAGGGGGGGGGGTCTGAAGGTAGAATGTTGAAGACAAGAAATGATGATATTTTTGTTGTACAATTGCAAAAACTACTTATTTGAAACTACTTATATGTGCTTCTAAAATATTCGGCTAAGACAGGGGCATCAAGAGATCATGAGTAGTAAAAATTCAAAACTGAATTGTGGATTTGAAAGACTACAGGTTAAGTAATTTCTCCCATTTTTTCCATTCGTTATCAATTTTTTGTTTTTCTTTGTCCTCTTTACTTTTTACAATATATTTCTGGATTGAATAGTTTTCTTTAATTATATTTTTAAGAACATTTATATTTAGAGAGTTGTGAAAGCATCTCATTCTATGAATGTACTGTTTTATGATTATGACAATTTCATTGTCAACACGATTACTGGGAAGAGAGTTCTGAAAGAGAAAGCCAAAAATAAACGATTTTTTGTTTACCGAGAAAGGGATTAATAAAGCTTCTAATAATGTTTTAAAGCACTGAAGTAAGTTTTGAACTTCCTGGCACTCCCATAGAACATGGGTAATTGTCTCAGTTTCAGTATTACAGAAAACACAGAGAGGGGAGATAACTAGTCCTAGTTTGAAAAGTAAAGAATTGGTTACCAAGATGTAATGGGTTAATCTGTACTGAAACCATTGTAGTTTTGCACTGTTTGTCACCTGGAATGGGATTCTATGATACCTAGTCCATGATGAGTGGTCAATATCGTCTAACAGTGAGTTCCATTTTTTGGTGCCTTTTGGAATCAATTCTGATTATTTAAAAGATTATAAAATAATTTTGAACCTTTTTTATCTCTGAAGAAAATCTGTGAGTTAATTGGTATGTATGGGTAAGTTATATTAAGTACTTTATGTGTATCGTATGAGGAGATATATTTTTTATAGCTGAGACCAGACCATGATACTCTAGAAAATTAGTGTTTATTCTATATTTCTGAATAAATTCATCAAATGGGTAAAATGTGCCAGTTTCTGAGTTTTTCATCAAATCATTTATGATTATTATGTTACTTTTATACCATTTTTTAAGGAATAGTGCTTTACCTCCAACAAGAATTTTACTGTTATACCAAATTGGAACTTTAATTAAGTTTTCCTGAAAGGCTTTAATATTATATTTTATCTGCACTTTATACCAGGCATTTAGAACATCCTGCCAAAATTTATTTTTACACTTCTTTATACAAAGCTTTATATATTCAGTACCACTAACAGCAAGAAGATCTGTATCAATATATGACATTAGTATTGTTTGCCATTTCTCTGTTTTTTGGTAAAGTCTCCTAATCCAGGTGAGTTTTAATGCTTGTATGAAAGCAGTGAGGTTAACCATTTTTAATCCACCACTGGTGTAATTTTGAGTGATTACCTCCCTTTTTATCTTATCTGGCTTCCCATTCCAAAGATAATCATAGAGAACTAAGTTAAGTTTCTTGAGAAATTTATCTTCAGGGTTAGGTAAAGAGATAAAAAGATGATTAAACTGAGATATAAGAAGTGATTTAATAATACTAATTCTTCCAATAGGTGTAAATGATCTCCTATTCCATATTTTTATTAAGGATTTTAGTTTGAGCTTTTTATCAAAATTTAACTTTGGGATTTCATGCAGGTTTACACTAAATTCTATTCCTAACAAGTTCGACGCCAAAGTCATTTATATAAAATGAAAAAAAGATATTGTCCTAAAGCTGATCCCTGTAGTACCCCTGCCGTTAGGGTTTTCCATGTAGATTTAGAGCCATTTATGATAACCCTTTTCTCCTATTTGTTAGGTTGGATCCGAATTATTTTAACATATTATCACATATACCATGCTTTTTTCCATTTAGAAATCAAACCATTGTACCAAACATTATCAAATACCTCGAGATGTTTGACGATTTCATCATGGATACTTAATAGCTAAAAAAGAAGACAGAAGAATTTTAGGTTGATGCTGAAAAATCATATTTTCTCACGAAAGAGATTTTATGAAAATAAGGAGTAATTGATATGGGTTAGTTGGGTCTCAAATTTCATGTGTAGATCCCTCTTGGTCCTTAGTTGTGTCATTTTGTCTGTGCGACTGATTTGATAAAGCTAAAAATGGCCGATATGTGACAATCTTGTATTTGGCAGTTAAAGATTATTATCGCCATTTCTGGACAGAAAATTTTTAATTTCATATAATTCATAGCAAAACATGAGGGGAAAAAAGAGGGAAAAGATCAACTTTAAAAGAGCAAGAGATCAGGCAATGATGGGCGTCAAGATCCCTCTGGAATCTCTCATCGAATTCTGTCGATTGACCAATCATCTCATCACATGATGCTGAAAATCTTTGAGAAAAATTTATATTGATGTTTGATTAGAAAGATTATTTCCCCGTTGATGAGTTATCAGTTATTAAATTGTATTATTGCTATGTAGGACGCATTAGGGTATTTTAATGATAGTGTGCATTCGACAGGCCATGTGATTGTGTATATCTGACAGGACACGTGATCGTGTACATCTGACGGGAAATGTGATCGTGTACATCTGACGGGGCATGTGATTGTTAACATCTGACTGGACATGTGATCGTGTAAATCTGACGGGGCATGTGATTGTGTACATCTGACGGGACATGTAACCGTTACATCTGACAGGACATGTAATCTTTTACATCCAATTTACTAAATCCTTTCAGCGTATAGCTACATTCCGATATCGCTTTGTTGTCAGTAAATTTAATCCGTTTTAAGTTTTAATAATAATACCGTAAACACTTCATCATAATTTTGTACATAGATAGGATTAACATTACACCTGTGTACGATGGCGTCTACAGAAAATTTTATGTCTCCTTAGGGTCTAGATGTACTATTTTATATGTATCTCAGTCGAAACTCACAGTGACTCCTTAAACCCGTCCATGGATCAACATTTAGAATAATGTCCATGTAATTTACAAACAAAGAATAAATATAAATAAAACTATGATTTTTTAAAACCTTTTATTTGATATAATTTTAAAAATATATATGTTCTTTAAAATCGTGTTATATCCGTAATGATACGAGAAACAATATGTGTGATTATTAAGTTCCATTGCCACTCCGGGAAATTTATTGATTCACTTTCGACCCAATTCAATCCATTGAAACCTGAAAGAAAATATAGAAATAGGACAGAAAAAAAAACCCAAAACAATTACTTGTATACGTGCCCTCATTGCCTTCAGTACCAAAGACATTGCCACGATCTTCATTATCTCTGTAGTTAGTGAACTGTATTATAGAACTGAAGAAAAAATCTTAACTGCCTAACTTGTAACTGATCAAAATATGTAGCTTAAATTCTTCAGCTCAAAGAAGAGCTTCAATGACTTCTGAACGGATCGCTAAGAACATTTGTTGAATTACCAACACTGTCACTTTGATTGACGACAAATCAGTTCACACGATAATATCACTGACTACAAATCAGTTCTACTTACTAGCAGTTCTTACAGTTACAGACAACCATTCTCAAGATAGTTTTATGGAATAATTAGCTGATCTCGAGATATTATCACTGAATAAGTAACAGTTCTCACAATAGCTGTTCTGAGAGTTGTTCTCGTGTTATATTAAATGAACATACCTGTTCTCCTTTATCTCACAAATATAAAAAATTCTGATCATGCATGGTCGATCTCTCCATCGGAAAGTCGAATGAGAATAAGTGAGATATCCTTCTAAACAGTCCTCGCCAGAGGAGTGGTGATTGTTTGGCTCGCCCGGGTTCCAGTTAGTGTAACCCAGGTACTGACCACTTTCATACCATCTCCAGTCTCCTTCCACAAATATGTCATTCCCGCCGAGCCAAAAGTCACGATGGTCAGCTGAGTACAAAAGCAATCATTGATGAAATAAGAATGAATATAGTGACGATTCTTTTTCGTCCTTTTGATTGCAATCCAAAAGATTTTGTACAATGATTTTTCGTATTTTCAAACATGTATTAAGGTAAACAAGAAAATAATACCGTCACTGTGAAAGACACAGGAGTGAATGAAAAGCGCTCGAGACGTCAATACATCAGCATTATCAATCTCATTAACATAAATGAAAGCACAGCCTACTATGAAGTTGTATAAGCATTTGCCTCAAGAAATTGTCCTCTTGTGCATCTTCAACTTCAGCGAGGTGGGCGTGGAACGATGAACATGCGTCCTGTTAAAGATATCAAAGTTATTAAAGTGTTACATGGAGACAACTGACATAGTACCACGAGAACAAGATACGTTTTTCGGAAGTTTAAGTAACTTCTGAGGTCTTCATGAATGTCACCATATGAACATTGGTCAATCTAAGTATGTAATGTCAAGTTCCTAAATGAGAACAATGTTAACAAAAATGAAACCAAATGTCAGACTTACGAGCATTAAACATGTCCAACTGCAAAATGCACACACAAAACAAAATCTCAATGACATTATTATGAAGACTTTAAAACTTACTCATGAATGGCTCTTTTTTTATCTTAATAACATATATCAAATCAACGAATGACCAACTCATTCAGAACAAGGACAGGAAAATATGCAAATCAATTACGAGAGCCAAATTAATCAAATATCAATAAAATTTTAATGAAAAAAGTTATGAATATTTATTAATTAGTCTTTGAAATGTATTCCAGGCGATGTACAATCAAAGTCGTCTAAGTTACCGATGCTGCAGTCCAGTTTTTCCTGTCATCGGACACAAAATAGCAGGAACTATTATAGGTTTCCCAGCCGTTTGGACATCCACAGATCACTGGAAATCAATCAGCTATAAGCGTTTAACATGGAACAAGCCATGTAGCAGTACAGTCGACACATGACTCTATATATTGTTAAAATATAACAATTAATTGGACATTAATATTTAACTTCCAATAAGACAAAACTTTGTTGTAAGTCATGAGTTAAATCATAAAGACTTTAAAATGTTGTATGTTGTTGAAAAGTATATTACCGTGAAAAAGTAAAACAAACATCTTCAGTGAAAATAATAGTGCCTTTAAATAAGTCCTCACATTGAATTCTTCTAAAATTACTATCTGAAAGAAAATCGTGTGATAAATCCCTGCTACAGTATGTTTATACATGTATTATGATCAGAGACACCAACGAAATGTATGTTATTATCTTCGAAAAACACTGTGAAATTTAAGTTTGAGATAGATGCGTATGATCACAAATCTTACCCTGACCCAACACAACTATGAAAATCGGACCGAATCTTGCAAGGTAAGTCATTGTTGTTGTACCGTCAAAAACCGATCTATACTACATTGTAGACATGACCAACAGATAACGACTTATCTTATAACGTAACATATAATGGTTTCTACTGAGGACCACCTATACAGAAGAGGGGAAGTGGACTAAGAATATAGAAAAGTTAAAACTGGAATATTGTATTATTATCTTATGTTTATTTCCGACAAGTAACTGCATTATTATTGAGTAACGGCACCAGTTGCAGGCTCAGTCACGGTCAGCCAATCTCGATTGCTCCAGAACTGTCACTGAAAGTAAAGTACTTCAAGTACTGGTGCATAAGTGATTTGGAGAGTCTCTTAACGAATGAGGATATAATTTCAAAAATAAGCAAGCTGTGAATGTATCAATTAAATTTAATACTTGTATCCTTGTTAATGACACATGTGTATCCTTGGTAATGTCACATTTGTATCATTTGAATTAAGAGATTGTTTAACGATGTCAATTAAGGCTTTAGATCACCCTTTTATATTTCTTTGGACAATTAACAAGCATCACTAACAGGACAGAATATTATATCTATTTTACTGTTATGTTAGTCATTTGTTTATTTTTTTTTAATTTCTTATTGTTTTTTCTTTTGATGGAATCTTTCTTTGGTATTCTAAAATGCTCAAAAAATATCGTGTAAAGACCGTTTATTGAAATTGTCCTGAATTTTCGATATTCTTGTAATATTACTATGGCTGGTTTGAAACATTCGGCAAAATTAACACATAAATCGTTCAAAACACTATCAACATTTAAAGAATCTCCAGTTTTTAAATATGCTTCTTCACCTTAATGCAGACTTACCCGATCTCACAAATGAAGTTATTTTGTTCTTTGCATGGTCTATCATCCCATCGATACTCTCGATTTTGCCTTATTGCAACAATCAAACAATCTTCTTGTTGGCTATGGTAGCTGTTTGGTTCGCCGGGGTACCACTTTGTGCAGCTGAAAAGCTGGTCAGAGTATACCCATCGCCAGTCACCTTCCACAAATATGTCCGCCCCGCCTAACCAATATTCAGCATCATTCGAGTGGCCATCTACAGAAATAAAACGACTCGCAAAAGAATAATGAATTGATTGTCAGTCTATAACAAAGACATCATGAGCACAGGTAGAGTTTTGTATTGTTTTGAATTTGTATATAATTTGCTTTTTGTGAACAACTGACGGTAAGAAAAAAAAAGTACTGATGAAGATAATGGAGTATTGACATAATTTCACTATCACTATCACTGATGCTCGTTAGTATGCCTTGTGATTTAGTTGTCATCGTCTGGTGCTTATCTTTCACGTTTATCTAGGTCACCTGCTCTATCTTTTATCTGTCTTTTTTCTGTAAGAATCCTGGTCTTATTCCACAGGTCCTTTCTAGGTAACTTTATCCTAATTTTCATGCGGTTTTTTTTCTTTTAAGAAACCTGGTTCTATTCTTCACGTATATTTTTTATTATGAGATCTGTTATCTATTCTTCTTGTTTTTAGAAAATCTGGTCTTTTTCACGTGTTTTTTCGTAATCTATTGTCATTCTTCACGTTTTCTTTATTATAGGTACCTGATCTTATGGTTCCTGTTTAGAAATTATGTCTTCATGTGTTTTTTATCACAGGTGGTATATATTTCCTTTGTTCATATTTTGAGTGTTTTGGAGTTTTGAGGTATGTTTGCTCGTAATTCCTTTTTTTAGCATAAATTTATGTGCAACTTTCATTTCTCGATTTAAAATTCTCACTCGCTAAATGGGCTGAAAGGTCAGCATGATTTATTAAATGCCTATAAATAGTGATAAAAAAACGGCACCTTACCATGATATTTCGAGATTATTTGTTTAAGAAAGGTGTCCTCCCTTGCGCTTTCAATTTCAGCAAGATGGGCATGATACAATCCACATGTTGACTGAAATTGTTAACAAATTCTTAAAATCAGTCTGGAAGTAATATGAATCAATCTTCATATAAAATGAAAATACCTCCATTTACCTACAACATCCCCACCCACCCAAACCCTCGAAAACGATAATCATGTCAGAATCATGGTTAATTTTTACATTCTATTCAATTTACAAATTCTCAAATGAAAATAAAAACGACCAAGGAATCTTTGCTGTGCGCTCTTTCAACCATAAGCAAATTCAAATATCTGTTTCATTTCAACTAATTTCATTGTATAAAAATTTTGATGACTTGATAGACCTATACAAACTATCAATATTGGTGGTATGAAATATACATTATATATTTTGCATATAATCATATAGTTATAATATATTTGTGAGAATATTACCATTTATTCATACACACTCATTCAAGTAAAAAACTGAGGTCAAAACTAACTTCCGAAAAAACCTAGTAGTTACACATCATGAGAATGACAACATGTCCTTCCAAACTATTGAGTAACAATTGTTTAATCAACGCCTTACTACTACATATACCTCACAACTTCCAAAAATAACCCCCCTCCCCCATCAAACGATTCCTTATCTACGCTTTTTGTCGCCTACTGATATGATATGGCGTTTACATATCAACTGACAATGCCTGTTACTTTTATTTTCATTTCCGAAATATTGTATAGATCATAATGCAACCAGAATTGGACAACAGGCAAAGCCTATGAAAGATTGTACAAAAGACATACAAGTGAATAGCACCTTTTCATAATTTCGGGTGAGGTACAGTAACGCCAAACAATGAATAAAACTGCATCATACAAGCCTCCGAGGATTCGCCAGCTCTTCAACAAATTGAACACAATACACATCAATTTAATTACAAATCTGCATAACAGTTACAAAATAGTGTGTAATGATGAAATATGAAAAAAAAGAGATATGACTACTTGATTTTTTTATCATTATGCTACACATTTTTTATAATTCATAAAATCTACCACAGATATCAGTCCGTTACTTGGTCGGCAGGTCATCACAGAGAAAATGTCCATTCAATTTCGGAACATTTTCTTCAGGTTGGTAATGTCAACAGAATAGTAACAAAACCAGTATAAGATTTGTTCGTGACGTTTCGATGACTATATGGTCACCTTTATCAGACAAATGACCAGTAAAGCGTACTAGTACTGACGTATTTAGTGCACGAGCTGATAAGGACTCGACCTACTTTTTCGACTGTGCTATAATCCTGCGTACATCGCACACTAGAGTCGAAAATAGTATGACGAAATGGTAAGCAGGCCTATCATGATTTTACCAGCAGACATGGGGAAACAACAGTCATCATGGACACTGACGAATACGAGAACAAGTCGCAGTTTTGCTCGAAGAAAACAAAACATATGTAAAATTCAAGAACAACACTTACCAAAGTTCAAAAAGCGGCGGGTATCTATCAAAACTAAAGCAATGAAATAACATAACCAAATGACAATATAGACACCTGTGTCTCACTGCAGAGAACACACCTAGAATGTTCTGCACACCCTAGATCCACAAGGAAGGGAACTCATTACAGCCTATATTGGACTATACTGGTTCCATTGGTTACAATGTCTCCAGGTCACTTGCGGTCATTCTAGGACCTCTAGTGGGAAAATCAGAACATCCAGTCAAAACCTCGAAATACATTGCAGAAAGTATGTTTACGGTACTTGACCAAAACGATCAGGAATTCGTGACATTCATCAACGATGTAGTATCTGTTTTCAACAACACACCCACCGTCAAGGCCCTTGATATCATTAGGGGCCGCCTAGAGTAAGACCAGTCATTGCGAAAGAGCACCAATCTCCATATCCAAGACCTCACGGTTTTGTTAGAATTTGAGCATACAACAGTATATTTTGTCTTCTGAGACACCCTCTATCAGCAACAGTTTGGTACGGCTACGGGTAGCCCAATGTGTCCAATTGTGGCCAAACTGTTCATGGGAAAGAGGCTATAGCCGCCGTAGAATACAAGCCAAGTCTGTGGAAGCGGTATATTGCTGGCATATTGAAATATTCAAAAAAGGGTCACAGAAAGTTCTGACTGAACTTATGAATATCGTAGATACCACAAACAGCATCATATTCACCTGTGAAGAAGAAATCAATTACACATAGCTATTTCCCGATACCCTCCTTGTAAAGAATGATGACGGTACTATCAAAGTATTGGTCTGTAGGAAAATGACGCACACTTACCAATACCTCAACTTCCGATCGCACCACGCCTTATACCAAGTTGGGCGTTGCGCAAACCTTGCTCCATAGATGTGAATCGATTACCACAGAAGAACAAGATCAGAATCAAGAACAAAATCACATACATAGCGACATGAAAATTGATAGTTGCCCCTATAGAGGAGTCCAGAAAGGTAACAACGAAGTTGATAAAAGCAAAAAGGCTAAGAGACGAAATACCATCTACTTAAAGCGATTTATATCATTAAAGCCCCAATATACGTAAAAATCACCATAAAAAACAAACTTTATCTTATTTTCCCCGTAATATATGTAACAAAACAAATACTTTCCTATAATTATAGAAAATAAAACTGACTGTTTTCAATTTAAATAAAAATTGAAAAAATCGGAAAATAAACAATGTGGGACCCACAATAATTCATACATTACCGCTCGTAGCGATGACATTGCGCATGAGTATATTCCGCGTGTGTAAACATGGCAGACACAGTATAGACGTTCACCAGCCGCTTCCTTTTTTTCCAATCATACATCAGGCCAGTTCTAAATTCTTACGTTATAATTGTGCGTCGTATCGTTTCTTAACTAATTATTCCTTCTAATAATTTCCCAAAACTTAATGTTTATCACAGGAATACCTGAAGTTTACGACAAGACTTCGCAAACAATGTTTGTAAACAAAACCTTACCGTAGACATATCTGCATGTGCTTCCTCTATAAGTAGAAACTTCAACTCTCGCGAGATCAGGTCATGAACTTTCCGACGTGGTTCGGCAACAATCGTAATTTCGTTGGCGGCGTGTTTAAAATGGAGGTGTGTTTACAAATAGCG